GCTACAGACGGTCTTCCGTTCATCGCGCGGCCAGTCGATTTGAAGGATGCACAAATCTGCATCCCTTCGTCGGTAAAGAGTCCGTTCCGAGACCGGTGGTGTCAAGCCACGCGGTGGTGGCAACCGCGAACACGCTCAACAACAAACTCGTTTCTTCACGCTGTTCACACTCGGTAACGAGAGCCCGCGGAAGCCTACCCGCGTTAATTACCTCTCTTTCTCTCCCTCGTGGCTGAAAGATAATTCCTCGCGAATCTCGCGTCACGTTACATCAGCGTTTTCTGCACATCTATCGAGCTAGCAGATTATTTCCTAAAGACTACATTCGAGAGAAAAGGTTCTGGTATTTGTGATTAGAATAGCATAATAAAATATTTATGACTATAGGATCTCTCCATTTTTATGATTATTGCTGCTATAATATAATAATTATACTTACAGTTCTGTGCTAAAAAAATGTCCTCGAGAAAACATATAACTTTAGTCGAACTTCAGTATTAATAGAACTAAAAATATAATTATACATACAATATACATATGTGTGTGTGGTATGCAGTTATTATTGTAACAATAATAACTGCAATAAAAATAGGGGCTTTATATAACTATGATATTACCACGAAATGGTCATGAAAATAGAAAACTTTTCTCTCAATATATGAAATCCGAGATTCTTTTTTTAGATTCGATGGCGGAGTACGTTATAATAAGAAAAGGATTTGAGTTGTCTTCGTGTTGTATCGCGAATTTCGTTTAAGAACTTTTTCTTCTTCTTGATCCCGTGGTTTTAAGTATTGTATACCATCAGTAGAGAGAGAGAGAGATTCAAGAACGTCGTAAACTGGATTAAAATCATCGTGTCGATGGCTCGTGATACAATTGCACGGCGTAATATCTTCTTCTAAAGACGACTTTCCAGAAAACGCTCGATTCAACGCTGTTGGATTAAATGTTATCGTAAAAAACGACCTTCGCGCAAAAAGAAGCTTGCCTCTCCTCCTTCTTTTCTTTTATTCTATTTTCGCCATTCTGCCTCGACTGCGTTATCCGTGATGACGTAATTAAAAAGAAAGGCGTCGTGTTTGATTTCCAAGCAGAGATAGCACGTCTTCGCGAGATAAAGTCATTTTCAGTTTAAACTACAACTCGCAAACCAAGGAGAGTTCTTTAGACAAGCTGTCAAAAATCTGAGAGAAGGGTGTGTGAAATCCAGTTAACTCTCAGGAAAAAAAATCTGTAATACAATTACTAACGCTGAGTTCATGAAATCCTTTTAATTTATGTTGACTAAAAGACACTGATTGATTTCAAAGAATTAAAATGAGTTGTATAAAAAGTATGAATACTCCGAGCTTATTTTAATAATGCAAATTTTTATGCAGATGCAACATACAGGATGCATTTAAATGAGTTGAGCTTCGGAAAATTAAGAACCGTAATATTCCCACTTCATTTTCATTGATAAATACGCACTTATATTATAGAATAGAATCTCAGAAATAAATGCGTGTATTTAACCGATAAAAATTAGGAGTAAATAGTGATTTAAAGATCGATGACAAGAATGTGCTTGGATTGAATTGAAATATCTTTGTCAAGAACGAACGAAGAGATAACTTGTAGATCATGGAATTCTTCATTTTTATTCTCGAGGCGAACTAGTCGCATATTTTTATGTTCCGCAACGGTACGATATTTGCATTCGTGCGAGAGGAAAAACAACGTGGAAGCGCATTCCATTGCACTGAAAAATAATTCCACTCGCGATCACCTATGCCGCGGTTGGTCGGCGTGATAATTAAACTTACGATCTAGTTCCGGCATGTCGGCGACCTTCCTCTCTGTTTGATCACAGAGCGAATCTCACGTTGGAATCACGTTGACGTCAAGGTGGAAACGAGCGCGTGTCTCGTCCTCGCGGATAAATTTAGCCCTTTAACGCGCGATTTTAGGGGCGTCAATCCCTCTGACCTTTCCGAATAAACGACGACGCGGAATTTCTCTCGGCTGAAAAGAGCGGAAAATTAGGAAAAACGTGTCGAGAGAACCTCCTCCGAGAAAAAGTTCGCGAGCTTCAAAAAGAACAATCGGCGGCATTTCCAGGCAATTGTCTCAATCATCCTATACTCAGAGAAAAAGATATATCTTAATAGTAGAGATAGATTGACTGGTTCAGTAAAGTTAGAGCTTGCTGCGCGAATTTAGCATCTATAACTAATCATGTAAGAAGATTTGATGGTTCATCAAAGAAATTAGGTCTTTAAGCAATTAGTATGCTAATTCATCTAATTCTTTGCTATCGTGCAATGAAAATTGCTAATATAATATAAGAAGTTTCTTTTATTACAGCAGCAGAAGTACGCGCCATTTTACAATTAGTTAGCATACTTTGTTAAAAATTTTGACCTATATTGGATTGATTTTCATAGAAAGTTATCTTTACTGTGTTAATAAATTTGTGCTATTATAACAAATACGATTATCTATAATTGCTAATTTTATTCGGCTGTACAACTTTGCTAATTAACATTTAAAAAATCCGTACATTGCAGCTGTGCTGAATTAGTGAAATTTTCAGTCGTTTTAACAAGTTTTTTTTCCATGTAACACAATTATAAAAGTGATAACAATACAAATTTTATATACAAAGTTAATGTACTAAAGTAATAGTTTAATAAACTATTCTGTAATTATTGCGGTTATAAAATGATGTAATTTACTTACATTTTCGCTCGTTTTTTGCAATGCAAAGTGTAAAGAAAGGACGATCTGAATCGAGCGGTAATACAGTTCTTTAGTGTAAAATAAATTTATTAATATACTAAATTCATTTTATACTAAAAAGTAATGTAATTCAATTGTGCACATTAGTTTATTCAACTATGTACTCATTCTACGTACAAAACTTGTATAAAGTCGCTGTCACAGTAACTGTTTTTCTTTGAGTATGAAAGTTGGATTGAACGCGACTCGCGCAAATCCCTCGGCGACCTCCGTTTTTTTCAATAAAACAAAACACAATGTTCCGAGTGCGGCAACGGTGATAACACGTATGACAACGTTTTTCCGAAAATCGCCCAGGTGTATGCATCGAAATAGGTCAGCCGCCAGTTAAATGCACGATCGAGCGAGATTTCCTAGCGCGCTGTCCGCGAGCGCGGCGTAATGAAGACGAAGAGGAGAAAATCGCAATAACGTAACAATAAAGAGTCTCATTTGAAAAATCGCGACGTAATCGCGCGTTCTTGTCGAGAGTCCATGGACATGCGACAGAAGCCAACTCGGTCGCGTGAGATCCAAGGGGGACACGTTGTCGCCGCTCGAAATTAATTCGATCGGCGTCGATTGACTCGCGTTATTCGTTGTGGCACGTCGCGATATGGGTCGGACGGACGGACATTGTTACGTGACACACAAGGCCGAGGTGGAAGCTGCGCTGTATGGGAAAATGAAACGAGGGAGAAAAGAGCCGTGACAGCGCTGCGTTACGCGATGAATGAATAGTCGCATTTGCGACGCGCGGCTAAACGGCGACTTCAGCGGGATATCTGATAATACATCCCAGCATGATTTTTCAATCGAAAAACGATACTCGCACTCGCGGAAGTATTGTAATTGAAACACGCCCCTTTATGCGCGTGGAATTACGTGTGATACAATTACTAGTATAATTAAAGATGACGCTTTTGCAACCAAGACAATCGCGAAGATTGTATCGACGAATACGAGAAGATGTGTAACAGCTGTATCTTTTCTTTAACGCTGACATGAATTTTTGTAATCGGTTCCCTGACGTCACACTATTACTTTGTGCCCGACTGTGCTCAACTCTCATAAAATAGGTGCAAATTTTGGTGTAATGTTGTATTGGTTAATGTTTTTCAAAATATTTGTGGATATTGATTCGTGTGCGTATTAAAGATACGAAAGTGGAGATAATAAATAGCATTTATGCGCCTCATGTATAAATGTAAAAACACGTATTTTATCGTCGCCATGAATTCGTAAAATGTTTTTATAACATAATACAATTTTAAGGAAATTTTTCATGTTAAAATTTTTCAATAAAATATGATTTTTAAATAAAAATGTTCTTCTAAATTAATAAGCTTTTTCAGAACTCACAATATACTACATAAAATCCATGCAAAGTGTGAATTGTACAAATAGTGCACTGAAAAAAAATTACTAAACCTTAACATATTTCTTGAAATAAAAAACTGGTAAAAGTAAACATTTATTTATAATATTTGCAGTAAGTAAATATTTACTCAATAAAAGTGGAGTAATTAAATCAATTAAATTGATGGATTTTCAAATAAATACGTTTTACATTTAGTAAATATTTACTTCAGTATCATTCCATCAGATATTTATTAAAATTTACACTGAAATCTTTTTCAATGTAGCAAGTAGAAAATATACGTGTATTTAAACTGATACATGCGGCGTATCCTGGACCCACTTAAAGTGTATGTATGTACATCCAATTGGACACACAAGACAGTTAAAATATTAATACAGATTTTCCTCTAAAGATCTAAATTGGGATTAAAATCCATTCGCAAGATTTGCACAGTTCATATGATATTCGCTCTTAAATATACAGGCTGACCTTACTAATTTTGTGCTCGCTTTTATAATACACCCAGGATTGGCGCGTCGTAAAATAATTTTATACAAACGTGTACTAATGCGTCATCGGATCGATCTTTTTAATTCGCCTCCGTTCCCACTTTTTCCGAGAAAACTGATACACGATGAGAACGATTTGAGTGTCAATGTATGTGCCAGCCCAGAGGGCGTCGATCACCATATCCACTAATAACAGAAAGAAGAAACGTTATAATTCGCGAGTGTGTTCCAGTGCGATTCTGTGCTTTTCCATTTCTTATTAAGAAGATACGCGACGAGTGAAGTGACGCGGTCCAGAAGCACTTTCAGAATTCTTCTTCTCATCACGATGATACGTGACGAGCGTTAGAAACGGAGGAGGTGAAATGACGTGGTCCAGAAACGTTAAATTTCAGAAATCCAGCGCCGGAGACGTCGCGATGCGAGCCTCGCGCGCTCGATCTCTCGCCGCACGCGTACGTCGCGCACGCACACACGCGTGAGCAATTCAATTAAGGAAGCGCGGACGTGCGTGCCCGTTCGCTCGCGTGCGCCCGAGCCCGAGATAATTTACGCCGTACTCCTCCCCATGGGATGAATGAACGTGACCCACGCATTTTTTCCTCCCGCTCGGGTCACGACGCAGAGAGAAGAGGAAGGAAGAAGAGCGGCAGAGAAAGAGGGGACGAGCGAAGGACTAAGGAGACAAATGAGGCTGTGTGTATGTGTATGAATTGTGCGTTTTAAAGCGACCGATAAGGCCGATCTGTCGTGATATCGAGCGCCGAAGAGGGATCCCAAAAATTCGCATCTCGCTTTACCTTCGCGGCGAAAATCGAATCTGTGACTGCCAGGCGACATCCACTTCGTAATCGCGTGTGTTGCGCACGCGAACGATGTGTCATTCATCAAGGTAATGAAGAACAAAGAAAACAACGACGTATTGCGCACTGATCCTCCGCGAAGATCGCAGCGCATCTTCAAGTGATAAAATCCTCCAGCGTCTTTTCTACCATATAATACATATAAAAAAGATATAAGAGTGTGGTATTACGATACGTTAGACTTCCGGACTCACTCGCGGTTTTATTTACGCGCGAGGATTGAGCGTATCGGCGCGTATCGGTCCCTGATTTCCCGCGCGGAAGCGTCTCGCGAGTTCACACGAGTGAGACAGTAAAATCGTCACAGTCGTGATAGAAGAGAGAGATGAGCCGAGGGCATCTGCTCAGCGTGACACACGCCAGCGGTCTCTCCCCCCCGCGATGCGGATAGATGCGACGTGGGAGGATCGTTATCGGACGGGTAATAAGGTCGAGAGCAATTGAACTCTTGGCGCGGCGTCGGTGGATTTCGTCGTTGATCCAGAAGAGCGGACGACGTCGCCTTCCGTCGGCCATGGAGAAGAAGAGTGGAGGAGAGGCGCGGCCGAAGATCGAGATCGTACGGGTCTCGTCCATCGAACGCAGCCACTTCCGACCGCTGGACGGGGTGCAGCTACGCGCGACCTACAGCCACGTGCGAATGGGCACTTACTGCCCGGAACCGGAAGCGGCCGCCGGCGGACCAACGGAGAACAAGCCCCCCGCGCCGATCGAACAGACGCGACGCTTCAAGAAGTGAGTCGCTCCTCCTCGATCGATATCAAGACCAGAGATCTCTTTGCATGATGCATAATACATAAGCATGAAAAAATCAAACCTCCCCCCCCCCCCCAAGGAGTTTTTTTTATTTCACGGAAAGAAAGGAAATGAAGTACTTTGGTTTATTTTCTTATGCATTATTACGTATGTTATACGTTAACCCGCAGTTATCACAATACACATAGATAGTGTTACTGTAAGCTTTTAGTCTTAAGGAATTGACCAATTATAGTCGATTATTCTTCTGATATTCGACTGTGATTGATCAATTGTCCAAGACTCTATGCTCTTGCCCTTACTTTCATTTACAAAAAAACGCAATATTTCGTTATCGCGATAATCAGCTTCGCGAAGATAACAGCTGACTAGCCGATCGATAATGCCATTTTTTTGTTATCTTGTGTCTTGTATATTATCTCATACAAGATATCCAATAAATTGTAAAAAAAACAATTTTTTTTATTCGTTTTCGGCGATGCACGAGATAGAACGATTTGAGAAATACTGTCTCTTTGCAGAAATTTGGGACCAGTATCAAGACTGCTGAGACGTCGTCATAACGCGACATGCCTTGCCACCAAATCCTGTGATAACATTTATAGCGTGAATAGGAATAGTAATTCTCTGGACTGGAGAGTCAACCAGAACGCCAACGAACAAGGTAATTCATTAACTGTGACTCATAACATCGTTAACGAACTGGAGAACTTGGGAGTCGGTCATTCAATTACGACTTTTTCACTTCTTTAAAATCTTTTTCTTCTTCCTGGTAATTGCATCTACATAAATTTTTCTCTTTACATAACTTATATACATGTAAGCCCATTTAAAAACTTTTTTTTATTTAAAAAGGCATGTTGCTCTACTAAAACAATATAACTGAGAAAAAACAAAGTTTCCAAAAAATAAGTTTGAATATTTTGAAATATAAAAATTTGTAAAATATTTTAAAATGCAATGTTCATATAATAATTGATTATAAAAAAATAAAAGTGGGTATATTTTTAAAAATATTTTTTTTAGTGTTTTGCCGCTCTTTTTTCTTCTTTATTTCATCTTATACATATACATATATTTCGTGTTTATAAGCATCTAAAAAACTGTTATTTTAATTCAAAAAATTGAATTAGTATTTTCATATTCGCATTTTCATTCTCGTCCTCCATACAAAAGAAAAAATATTTCTGAAATTAAGTTTAATCAGATAGATTAAATTAAATTAAACTAGTTAAAAGAGAATATAAAATACTTTCGTAATTTTCGAAAATAATGCGGATGCGATTTGAACTTGTGATTTGAAAGCTTCGGTCGCGGTCATTTTTCGTTCTGCTCCTTTCCAGATCTACAAGCCAGACAAAGCAGCAGCCTGGACTGGAGAGTAGGAAGATCCGTCACTTTCAGCTCCAACCAGCTCCACTGGGGAAATGCGACGCGAAGCGCCGAACAGCTTTCCAGAAGTACGCCTCTCACTTCCGATCATCTTCAGACACCGAGCACGAGGTATGCTAATCCACGTCGTTGCACCTCGCGTGCAAATCCGTTTCATGCACGCAACGAAAGCAAATAATTTATGACAGGCTCGTCTGAGAGCGCGGCCGCCAAGCAGAAAAGTATAACGGTAGACTTTTGCGAGTCGTGAAGAAATCAGCGGGCAGTAATAACTCGGAGGGCGGTGGAGGTTTAGCGAGAAGCAAACCGCGATAACGTCGTGTACACACAATGTATGTACACGCAACGAGGTGGCTACTAGGAAAACGCAGTACATATTCGGGTTACATTGAAAGCAGCAATTAATTTGCTAAAAAACAAAGCGGGTAACGTTCGCTCGGAAGACATGCAATGGGAATGTAAAACTCCACGGAAATGCAGTTCGCCGCGGAAAAAGAAGATAAATTGATTACACTTTTATGAAATAATTAGCGAAGTGAAAACTGCGTAGGTTCCGTTTATTCTAGGATTCAAATTACGTATAAATAAAACATTGACGTAAAAAAAAAAGAACATTCAAAATTCCACGTATCTCACTTATATTTCAAAAAAAAAGTGACGCAACTCAGAAAATTAAATTTCTCATAGAAGAAGAAACACTGTCTATCAACTTTCGACAGAAAATTATTGACTAATCGAATAACATCGATAAAAATAATATACATATGTACTCAACATAATTAAATGTCATATTTATCATTTTCACTTCACAACTGCTTAAATAAACCATTCTTATTGAATTTTGACATTTTTTCAATCACCCTTTTTGAGCCGTGACTATTTTATATAAAGTTAGAAGCATCAAAAGCGAGAAAAATACATGAAGAAAATTCTTGCAAAAATTGACATTAAAAAGTAAACATTTTTTTAACGAAACAACATTTGCCATTGATAGAATAGATTTGTATTTGTAAAATATACCGACAAGTCTCTCTATATTCGAGTAGTCAATAAATATATTCAAATAAAACATTTTAAACTGAATTACAATGTACTTGACCAAAAAACGAAACGAGGTATACGATAGCTGTTGAAATAAAATAAATTTTGTATTAATTTGAAATAAAAGAAATTTTCACATTTTACAAGTGTACTCCATCAAATGCAAATATTGTTTTATTGAAAAGTGTACTTTACAAGAATTTTTATTATCTTGACAAAATGTTTATCAGCAACCAAAATATTCGTAATGAATGATCACAGAAGCCTGAAGTTAATTTACTTCTAATAATTAATAAGATAATATCATTTACTTGTATTACCCATAATAATAATTCAAAACGTTTCTGAATTGTGACACTTTTAAAGTGAAAGAGTGATATAGTATAAACATCTCAAAGAGAAAGGAAAGGACGCTCGATAAGTTTATCAACTACAAATCACTTTGATTATATTTCACTCGCGACTCTTTTTATATTGGCGGAGGGTGAGTGATAAAAATATCGCTTTAGATCGAAACTTGTGTCGCTATTGAGACGACTATCCCCGCGCCTGTCCCGACCCGGAAGCAAGGGTTCACTGCAGTCGTCGCCGACAATTTGCCCCTGGGTCCAAGTCGAATACTCGACGGAATCGATCGAAGGAAGCAAACGAGAGGAGTCACAAGAGAACGATGCCAGCTTCCAGCAGGAATTGCAGTTGAACGAACTGCGGAAACGGATGGCCGGGATTGCCTCCACGTCCCAGGTGATTGGTAATCTGCGTAAATGTCCCGTTCCGTCTTGTCACGCGCAATAATCGATAGTTGTCTAATTACCAATCCGTCGTCTGATAATAGATCCGTCGACTCGTATAAGGAGAGTCAGCAAAAGGAATATGGAATTGACAGCAAAAATGACTATAATTGTAGCACATTTTTCATGCCTATACTATACATATATTTCTTTTAGTATGCCTATAATATTATAAATATAATTTACTATTACTGTGACATTAAAGTATAATAAGTATATAAATGGAGCTCTTATCTTAATCATAATTATTTAATCATAATTATTTTATCATATAATTATATAGTCATAAATACAAAACACTTTTTCTCTCACAATCGATGTGTGAAAGTGTATAATAATTTTAATAAAATTATGATTTATCGTTAACTTTTTTTCCAAGTATTAGATTCGTAATTATCTTTTAATAATATTCATAATAATAACAATCACTTTAATAATCTTAAGATCCAGATGTTTGCTCCGAAATTTTCTTTTGCGAGTTCAGTGTACTCTTTAAATTAATGTATATCTTTTTACTTAAAATTAACGTAATTAAATGACAGAAAGTATTTGATTTTTTTTTATTTTGAATGTCAGAAATCGTGATTATGTAATTTAAAATTACGTAAGATGGAAAACATTTGTTATAAGCAACTTTTCATAAAATAATTTTTTAAATGTCAATTGAACCCGCAAATATCATAATTGAGATTAAATAGAAGATCCTATGATCAGATTTAAAAAATAGGACAATTTTGAAGCTCGACCGATTGTCCGATCTTCCTATTGTAGTACTCGTAGTTAAGTAACGATCAATCAGACAAACGAATTTACGATCGCTTAAAGACTGCCCGATGGCGTCATCCGGAACGAAGCTGTATCGTAGGTGCGCCCATTAATAGCTTCCGGCACGATTGCTCGAAATAGAATACGATGAGAAGAAAAACGCGGCGGATAAACTCTCCATTTATTTCGTCAGATGATTAAACTCACTTAGCGCGTCCTTAAGCCATTCACCCCGATTCGCACCAAGTTACAATCTCGTCGCGATTTTCGCCCTAAAACAGGTTTTATTATCTGTCAGATCACGATGAAGGTCACTATTAAGGATGGCACGGGACAACAGAATCTGCCGCGACCCAGGATTCAAGTGCAGGAACCCGAAACCGAATGTAACCACCGGAACGTCCACACAGCGTAAGCTTTCACTCTTCTCTCGATCTTTTTTCCTTTTTCTTTTCCGCTTCCCTGCAACTGATTCAGCTTGAGAGACTTTATCCCAAGAATTGTGTCGATGCTCGAAAAAGAGAAAAGTGCACGTCGATTTCCCATCGCAAACATGAAGCGCGATGTCCAACTTCTACGTGCGTTTTATAAGTTTCAAGGATGAGCGAAAGAAAAGTTCCCGGATGCTGCGAACAGCACGTGTGAAATGCGAGAGAGACTTTTCTTTCGATATTCATCCCGCTAACGCAATTCCCTCGCTGCACTCATATTCATTCAACTTCACGATTGCATGTGAACCTTGCGTTTGCTGTGATTCTCGCAAATAAAAGGATTTTCTTTTATGCCATGTATATACCATATCCAATAAACGATTGTATGTCTCCTGCATTGTAATATTAATCTGCACCTTTATAACAAAATCGTTGCAAGACTTTTATAACTTAAGCACATAAACCACTAACGTACTGATGATTTCTTGAACGTATAACATGCATCCACTGGAAAAACGTTGTCTAAAAAATTAGAAACATTTATTATGATTGGAATATATTCATGTATTAAGGTTTTTCGTTTAATATCGTAAATAGGTATTATTTCTGAGACATCTAATATTTCGATTATATTTCGATATATAAATCTTCCATTTTCGCGAAAACTTTTTTACGTACGCGTGGTTATTGGACTTATATTCAATTCGCAAAACAAATCAATTAGAGAATATTTAATGTGTTAATCATTAAAAGAACAATTCACGTGTAATCCATAATGTTTTCTTCTTTAATATTTGTCAATGAAGTAATATACATATAATTACAAAAACAGTCTTCGTGATATACAAATGTTTTTCGAAAAAAAAAATGATCCTGACATAATAACGTTAAAATAATACGAATATTGTATTAATTCGCAAAACAAATCAAACATTTTGTATATTAATCCGTAAAAGGATAAATTATATGTGACTTATACAATTTTATAGAACTGTTTTTTTCCTTTTTTAATATTTATCAGTGAAACTATTTGTATATAATTGTGAAAATATCCTTTGTATAGATAATTTCTGTAACATTCTATACAGATATACATTTGATTCTAAATATAGGAAGAAATATTTCTAATAGTTAGAAATACTCAATTTACATATTAAAATTTTTGTACGTCTCAACTGATATCTTTTTATATACATCATTCTCTTTTTATATTTTCACTCAGAATATTATCACTCGCTTAAATCAGCAGGTTTCATAAAAATTTATGCGTGCGTAATAAATTTATGTTATTCTTCAATAAAAAAAATTGCGAGACTAGAATGTTATATTTAAAGGAGAACTATTTCACTCGCAAAGAAAATGTCTTAATTCGAGAAAATGTAATATCGATTGTCATGAAACAACAGCTGAACTTAAAACACAAATCTTTCTTTCTATTTTTATCTCTGTCAACAGAACAATATTGAACAAAAAAATCATACAAAGAATCACGCTACTCGTGGTATGTACATATGAAAGTGTAAGAATAGCCATCATAGAAATGATTCAAGTATTTTTGAAGACGACATACCATGGCTGATCTATAGACTAGACAAAGATGATTATCTTGCATTGGAATTTCAATCATAATACCTTCCTCCGCACCAGGATCCACAAAATCCATCGTTTCTTCTGTCTTTAGCGTGCCTTTGACATCTTGTGTATGGAACTGTATTATCACATCAAGCAAAAACTCGCCGTTCTCACTGGCACAATCATCCTCGCTGTCATTGGCCAGTGTGTCACTACGAGACAACTTCTCATCTGAAGACGAGGAAGTTTCATCTACGTCCACGCTATGCTCGTGTTTACTCGAATGCGTACCAACATCTGATTGACTATCAAGATACCTGGCTATCTTTCTTTTATCGGATGAATTTCCTGGGGAAGGAAGATCGTCGATTCGTCCCCTTTTTAATTCTTGACGCGTTTTATTTGTGTCTGGGTTGACCTCACTGGTCGAGAAATCTGAGATCAATGCTTGCGTTAAATCGTCCGAAGTATCTTTCAATAACGATTTATCATACAGTAAGGTATAGCAACCCGACGACCACCTCTGTAATTCTAACGTCATCTTAGGTTTTTTTGTTTTCTCAGGTACTAAATCGAGTCCTGTATACTTCTTCAACAATTGAAAGAAGGAGATAGATTTAAATAGATCACAGATATCTTTTAATGGTTTCGGCAGGGTTTGCTCATCAGCTATCTCGTAATGACGTATATCCGCCGGGCCGATCATCCGCCAGTTGATATCCTGCGATGTTAAATCGTTCGCAATTTGCTGGTACACAGATTCCTTCAAGAAGTTTTTAAGAAACGTGTAAGATGTCATCTCAACATCCTCTTGAATTTGTTCAATTATATTAGGTTCCAGGTAATCACTGGAAATCGAGGAATGCAAATTCACTTCGGTAGGACTCGGTTCTAGAAAAGTCTTGGCTGGTTCGCGTCTAGGCGGCTTATGGAAATCCTTTTTCAACGGGCCGTGAAACCACCCATTGATCGACCACCTACACTTGTCGTGCGCCAATACCTCGGCTACTTGATGATAGGAATTTTCCACTACTTCGAAGAACACGAGAGAGTTATATTCTGGAATTAATGATTTTACTACCTTCCTAGGCAAGCCTTCTTCGTCCACATCGAAAAGATCTAAAGCACCACCATCTTCCTCTGACCAATCATCGGTCAGATATAATATGTAAGCGATTCTTCTATCAATCATGTTATCATCGTGACATAATAAACGGTCGGTATTACGGTAACAAGCGCTTGACATCAAGATCTTTTCATTTAGCTCAATGTTTGTATTGCGACTCATCCATGACCTCAGATCTTTTTGAAAAGATCTGCTCAGCATTCGGATATACTTATCAGTGGAATAGAGCAGATCCTCGGTCTTCTCAAACTGATAGAGATCAAGGACTTTGCGCGTATGATCGTGACGCTTCAATTCGCTTTTTAAGTTCTCTAGGATCTTCTTGTCTCTTAAGAAATTTGATATCCTACATACTTTGAAAGGTTTCGATATGATTTCCAGATTGGCGTCCATAAAATCGCGATGGGAGTGCCAGTGCTTTTTGAATTCTTCTTGAAATTTGGTGCTGTATATGTGCTCCGAAAACAACTTCTGATCCGCCATCTCAGTTTTTGAAAAAACTACTTTTTGTCAAATCTAACATAAAAATCTTAAATCTACAAATCTTCTTTCTTCCTACAACTTTTCGATAAAGAAAATACTCATGTTATACACATGTCACTATGAAAATTGTCACTTAATACTTTACGATATATTTGGAATCATGAAGTACCATTTGGCCGGTCACCTAACCTCTTTGAGAATCTCAATTCGTCGTTGGCGAAGTTTTGTCGGCGTGTCTCCAGGACGATGAACAGCATCCGGTCGTATGAGTTGTCCTATTGAACAGAAGTGTCAATCAATCATCCTGATATATGAAACGCATATCCCTGGTATCCTACCACGTGGTCCTGCGAACAGCAAGTCAAAACGTCATTAATCGCAACTGTCATTCGCGACGATTATCACGATTAGACATGCAATAACAATTTGGACAATTCTACTGGAATCTACTTACTAAAATTGCGGCGAACATCAGCGTGTCAGAGAAACTTCTTCGGGCCTCCGTAATGTAACATGTGCGGCGACAGTAATAATAAAAACAACATCAATCTAGCATAGCAGCGCCTCTAACGGTCTTGCACAATCGTGTACTAAATACTAACCTTTCGAAAAACATCCGTTCCACCGAAGGTTGCTCCGGTTGCTCCAGATGGCATATATGTACTCCTCATTGACAAATATTAACATAAATACATATCCATGCATAATTATCTAATAAGTATACAAGTCTAGGACAATATTTAACGAATGTGCGTAAGATCGACGTACATTGATTATGAGTCTGTTCTTCTTAGCTGACTTCTTAGACTCGCAATTTCACAATTCATTTTCTTAAATCAAGCCTTATTTCGTCTAGAGCTTGAAAGCGGAAAGAAATAACGTAGCATTCGCGATGGGTGCCCCACGTTCACCGGGAAACGAGAAAAGAATTACAAACGTGATCAAATTTACTAGAATATTTATAAATGTATTGGTTAACACTTAATAAATTTGCTCAAAAAATTTGTAATTATTATTCCGTTTGAAAATACTCAATCGATCCCCAGCTGCAAAGAACAAGCCTATACGGCGTATACACGTCGGTACATTCGAAGTTGGCGCGGGCGGCGCTTCGGTGCCGCGCTACCAGGCGGCGCCGGCGTCGCCGTGGCAACATGGCGGGCGCGTGTCACATTTGACGGATGCCGTTGCGTGGTCGCGTGGTGAGAAGAAACTGCCGGAGAACGGTTCTGGGACCGCTGTGAATCGGCTCCGAGTGACCGAGTGTAGTGCGTCGCGACGCGACGGACGCGCGGCGTCCGACATCGCGAGGAGGTCATCCGGCCGGCCATCCTGGAGCCCGACACCTGGGGGACGCGCGTATACCGTGAGTAAATAATGCGTTTTTCGCGCAACATTACAAGTCCCGGTCGCGAACCTACGCGGTCCCACTCCCTCGCCGACGTCCTTCCTCCTCGAGACGGCGATTCCACCGTCGTCGTCGTCGTCGTCGCGGTGTGCGTGCACGTTGCCTGTGTGTGTTGCGTCGCCAACGCCAGAGCTGAGGGTGGGGTTCTTCCTAAGTCGCGGGTAAATACGCGTCCCAGGACACGCAAGACCTTCGCCGAGAATCTGTCAGTGTCCTCTCGTTTGTGCCGCGAACAGGTTCGCAGTTGGTTAACGTTCTTCGCCGATTTTCCCGGACGACATTTTGGAGAACCTTCTAGGTATCGAAATCCTTATCGGTGTATAGATTTCGGAGTTGGACAACTGCGCCTATTCAGGCTGCTTTCCTTTTAGGAGACACAGTCGACGAGAACGTTCTATCCTTCTTAGCATTCAATGAATAATGATTCATTCATTCAATAAAGCCAGAACGATATATACTTGTGTCTCCTAAAAGGAAAGTAGCCTCAAAGTATTCGAACGATAAGGGTAAAAGATCCGAAGAACAAAAATCGGAATATCTTTTCTATCCGAAGATTCGGAATCGTCTTGCTCCAATTTAGTTAATATGTGCCCTGAAGGTCACAAAAACACAGTTGTGTATTTTGAAAGCAGGTGAAGAATACAAGAGTGAAGCAAATTCATTAGGAGTCGACCAATAAAATTACAGAGGCGGAGGCGTTCTGGGAGACGCTATTAGCGCTATTTGTGTCTATTCTATTCTTATTTTAATCTGTGTAATAAATGATGTAGATAGAATGATATAAATAGGACTAATACGTCTTCTCGAAGGCAAGCTATAAATATTCTAGTTATTTTCTAATTTCTTTGATCAGCATTTAATGAATTCGCTCTTTTATTTTACTTTTACTTTTGTAATTTTCACCTGACGTCTATTTTTACCCCGCAGTAGAACTCTTTCTCGCTTTCGCCAAATATCAAACACGTACCTGTCTTATTTTAATAAGATGTCCCAAAAATGTACACAAGTTCGATCACAGACCTATAAGTTTCAGATCTGGTTACAACATGAACAAACAGCAATCAACCCCCTGTTTACATGGTGCTTGCTATTCTTTTTTACCTAACACAATGCAGGTTTTAATCTGGACACTTAATGCAACTGGTGAAGCAACAATAGCATGAAAAGATGTTACATTTTCTAATACACTGTAATTAACTCTAGCTATACACACTGAGGTCTCAGAAATCCCAGTGCAATTTGTTGAATCAAGATTTTTCGCGTTTCTGAACTTTTCTTTTTCTTTGAACCATATATACCTCGAAGTTCTTTGATTCTATCGACTTTTACACATTATAAACTTGTTTCTTAATCAATTCTCTATCGATTAAAAAAAAAATTAATCGAAATATGTTCATATTTTTATGTAAGTCACGGTAACAAATATGGATGGAGTCCAGGGATCCGAGTTTATATATCAAGAGTACAAAAAAATGTTGTTTGTATAGCTAGAATTAATATCGCTGGATTTATAAACAATAGCTTGTTGCAACGCTGTTGCCTTCGTGCCACGTTTTCATCAGAACATCATATACATTTGTCGCGTCATATTACAATATGACACATTTAATGTCACGCAGTCGAGTGCGAGTCATCGATCGATGACTCGTCGTTCCTTCGACGAGAGATTTGAACATTCGTTTCTAAGAGCGAGGGAGAAAGGGGGCGGGAGATCTCATGTTAATTCAACTCCATGGATCTCGGCTCGGAGATTATCTCGAGCCGGCCTTGAGTCGATACTTTCCTCGCATCCTACGACGAGAACGGGCCTTCGAATTTTGAAACGACTGCGTCAGTATTCGTACGCGGAGGCGAGCCGTGGGGTTTATAAGTTTATTATACATCGAATCACTCGAGTCGCAGATTGTACGACTATTATTGATTAACAAGTGCAGTCACGTGTGCCGACCGACGCCGTTTTTCTTATAGTCCGCTTCAATGTCGTATAAGCTGGCGCTCATACCTGCGCTTTATTGTAGCTCGAGGCGAAGATCCGTGCGGATTATTTCCGGCGGAGATATCTCGATTATCAATAACGCTCAGCTGTGACTCACGTGTGAACCTCCCACGAGTCAAACTGATCGACCTTGCTTTCTGTAAATTTTTTATTTTCGTACTACACTATTGGAAAATTTGTGTTGAATTTAATATTTCACGTTTACATTTAAAGATTGCGTTCGGTCGTTTGGTATGCTACGTCGTACACATATATTTCTACGGTATCAGTGTAATTATATATTAACAAAAATGAAGTATTTTGACAATATGATGGTAATTAGTTATATTGAAAGTGAATTGGCAAAAAAAACCTAAATTTGAGCCCTATTTGTTTAATCATTTTTCTTAGCGGTCATTGTACAGTAGTAAAGTTTTTCTCTCCTCTAATCTTATGCAAAAATAAAGGTCTATGTAAAAATTCATCCGGACGGTATTTTTTCCGAGGTCTTGTCCAATTTTCGTCTAAATTGACTTTACTTACACAAGTGTAAAGGTAAAGTGTATTTCAAATTTATTTCTTCTACAAGAGTGTGAAGATAAAAAACATTTTTGTAGTTCATAGACTATTTTATTTATATCGATTCCTACAATACTATGATTATTATTCGGAAAAAGGGACTAAATGTATTTTTTAAATTGCAAATAACTTTTTAAATATTGATCATAATAGAGAAACATTATACATGTAACTTCTCAAAAACATTACATAAATGTACAATTAATATTATTCCCATTTATTGTATAATAAAAAGGTAGCAAGTTATTTTAATTTTTATCAAAATCAAGATTTTGTAATCAGATCTTTATTCTGTTCATTTCCTCAATTTCATTAAACCATCAAAATACATAGTTATATGTATTTTGTATATATGTATTATAAGTATAACATTTTTTTGCTGTATATATAGAGATTACCTCATAATGTTATCAATCTTCCTTGCTTTGTTGTTTCGTGGAGTCGATTAGTTTTACTTCTGAAACTATACTCATACATATCCTAGTTATTCCAGTTTCGAAAGAATAGTTACTTTTAGAGTACCTCGTATAAATTTTAACGTCAACGATCTTTTACTTCAAGCGCGAGATAAAGTCACGCGAGAGTCGGCAGCGTATAAGTTAAGCACTTTAGAACGATCGATGGATCGCATGGGAAAAGAACGCGCTCTCGATAGGATGGGATCATGCACTAATCGTTACACCTCCCGCGATGAGATGGGTCATTATCCTTTCTTCTCTGCATCGCATCGCTCGCTGATAGGATGCCTCCGGAGTGTCGGGTTTAACGACTGCGCCACTTCAGTCGCTAAACTGTCAATCGCGTCGTTAAGGTTGTAGTTGAGGTTCGACGTACGTCGATTAATGTGTCCATGTACGCGTGAACCGTTACGCGCATCTTGTGGTTGAAAAAACGGATGACACGCCGAGACGAGTAACCTATTTATTTAATTTTTACGCATTGTGAAGATCAAATTACTCGATTTTCAATAAAAAATTACGGCAAAATAAAAATATCACACTTTCGCCCTGATTTGTAAAGAGAAATAAAGTCACGGTTTTTTCAAAATGTGATTTTTTAGAATTACACATGTAAAAAAAATTATAGTTTTTTCTCAGAATTTAAAAATACATTTAATTTGTAAAGAGATAAAGGGAAGAGCCAATTAACGTTTTTGTTTATTTAAGCGTGACAATAGATTAAACTTTGTTCCGTAAAAATGATCGCCTTCGAATTCGTGAAACGATATATTCCCGATTCTTTTTGTAAAGTACTTCCCCTATATTTTTCGCTCGCACCTGCTGGCAGCGAGGTCGTGAGATCACTCAGAGACTGTGAGAGAGTTTGATCAATGACGTACGAGCTTTAATAAAGCAATAACGGTAGTGTCCAAGCCCGGGGCTCGCACACGTCGCTCACTGCATAACACGTTAAATATCACGGATTTCAATGATGAATTTTACAAAAATCGATTAATAAAAATTTAAAGGTTGTGCACTCAATATCACGACGAATTATAATTTTTATTAGTATCGATTTATGTGACTACAAAATAAGATTTAATTCCAAAATGAAATAAGATTTAATTCCAAATAA